AATATGCCTGTGCCATCAGGGAAGAAAAAATCCATTGATGGAATAACCTGGTCATTCAGTATATTCAGGTAGTCAGCTGACTTCATTCTTGGAGCACATACTGTTGCTGAACCTAGACCTGACCAACTGCAGCAAGCCCAGATCATAGCACTGCCCCCACAGGCTTGTACAGTAGGCACTAGGCATGAGGGTGCATCACTTCATCTGCCTCTCTTCTTACCCTGATGCGCCCATCACTCTGGAACAGGGTAAATCTGGACTCATCAGACCACATGAGCTTCTGCCATTGCTCCAGAGTCCAATCTTTATGCTCCCTAGCAAATTGAAGCCTTTTTTTCCGGTTTGCCTTACTGATTAGTGGTTTTCTTACGGCTACACAGCTGTTCAGTCCCAATCCCTTGAGTTTCCTTTGCATTGTGCGTGTGGAAATGCTCTTACTTTCACTATTAAACATAGCCCTGACTTCTACTGTTGTTTTTCTTCGATTTGATTTCACCAAACGTTTAAGTGATCGCCGATCACGATCATTCAGGATTTTTTTCCAGCCACATTTCTTCCTCGAAGACGATGGTTCCCCACTATCCTTCCAGTTTTTAATAATGCGTTGGACAGTTCTTAACCCAATTTTAGTAGTTTCTGCAATCTCCTTAGATGTTTTCTCTGCTTGATGCATGCCAATGATTTGACCCTTCTCAAACAGACTAACATCTTTTCCACGACCACGAGATGTGTCTTTCGACATGGTTGTTTAAGAAATGAGAAGCAACTCATTGCACCAGTTGGGGTTAAATAACTTGTTGTCAGCTGAAAGATAATTGCCCATGCAGTAATTATCCAATAGGAGGCTCGTACCTATTTGCTTAGTTAAATCCAGGTGGCGACTTTTTTTTTGGCCAGGCAGTGTATGTATGTGTGTGTATAATGCATGTAAAGATGACAGGTAATGAAATATGGAGACAGTCTTTTGTTTAGACTATAGGGATCTGCTGCAGGCTTTCCAAGCACATACCTGGTTTGACTGTAATCTAGGGGCTTGCAAACAGAGCTCTGAGCAGACAAGATGCTGAGCACTGACTGACTACAGCATGATAACTAAAAAGTGATATTGAAGCAATTATTGAAGCAGTAAGACCTGTTTGAGATTGACACACCCCACCTTCAGCCATGTCTGGACAGTGCATAGTGGCTGTTGGACAGCTTGCAGAAGCATACAGACCTCTGGCCTGTTTCTGAACTCAGTAAGATCTGCTCAAGCTATATGTTGTAGGATATGCTTGAAAACAGGTGCTTATAATTTGAGCTTGATTAACATGGCTGGGGATATTGTTTGATAATCATGTGTCCTGATATAAGCCAAAAGCAGTGCTGGAAGTCAGATTAATTCTTCTCAGGTGGTCTGACTGGTGTAGCATAGTACACTCTCCTTGGTCATTATGAACTCTATGAGATACATTCTGAACACACTGAAGGGCATTCAGCCAAAATTCATCAAGAAAATGCGTTAATATAAGTTTGGATATGTTTCCTAGATGCAGAAATGTTTTGCAAGTCAAAAGAGAGCTGTGACAGTTCCAAGGTCCTATCCGACAGGTCGATTAATGAGAGCTTTCTATGTCTCGGGAGAATATGCTAAGTCTTAAACATTGTAGCACGGATAATTTTTACCAAGGATATAATAGGGGAACAAAACCAGTGAATCATCCATACTTTGCTATGCCTCAAAGAGTTAGCAAATGTGAAAGTAAGAGGGGCATAGATATAGGGTTATGGCATCCTAAGCTTAAATGTAAGTGCTTTATAGGAGTTTGATGGATATGGGCGAGCAGATGCTGATGATCTACTGTGAAATGCAGTTTCTCACCGGAGTTACAGGGACATCCTGGAAAGTGTCTTTCCTTCATTCAGCCGCCTCCCTCCACTGGGGCTCTCACTGTCAGGCGTGGGCATAGGAATGTATCATTAAATAAGGAAAAATACAAGCTGAGACCCCCTTTGCTGTATGTCAGAGAAATTATTAAAAAAAACAAAAAAAAAAACAAACCAAAAGCAACTTTTGACTATTATACACAGACGTCTGCTTTTAGCCTCAGAAAAAACAGAGATAAAACCTACTGATTTAATTACATTACACCCTGCATAGCATACAGTGTAGATCGCATGTGAATACACTTCTGATAAAAATACATATTTAATTACTGAATGTGTTCAGTTTAGAAACTACTGACACACATGAATTGATAATTATAGCTGTTGCTAGAATTATGTAGGGCTGAGACAGATAGACAATGTCTCCTGTATGAATGAAATATAATCATATAGGTCTTTATATCAAGGTAATGCACCATGGAAGTATGAATAATGAAAACTCTTTGTTGCAATGACAAATCCAATTGCTTGAAAATCAATATTGTGTAAAGAAATATGCTGGGTTGTGCAGTGATTAGCACTGTTGCCTCACACCTCTGGGACCAGGGTTGAGTCTCCATCACGGCTCCATGTGTGTGGAGTTTGCATGTTCTTCCCATGTTATCACGGTGTTTCCTCCAGGTCTCCCCCCCCCCCACCCCATAGTCTGAAAACACACTGAGGTTAATTGGAGCCAAAAGTGTGAATGGTGTGTGAGTCTGTTCTGTGATGGATAGGGTCCAGACCCCTGCGACCCTGAATAAGACTAGTGGGTACAGAAGATGAAAAAACATGTTAAATGATTATGTTGAAAACTTCACAGTATTGTGTAAACACCTTATTGTTACATTACTGAGACATGAAGTAGCTTTGTGCCTTAATCTGTCCATCAGCAGCAATCTTTAATCTAGGGAGGTAGGCTTACTACTATTAAAACTTTTGGGAAAAAACTGTTGAGCTGCTTGAAAAGTACTCACCAGAATTGGGACACTGTTTGGGGTTGCTGCGTGGAATACATGATTACGGTTGCATTTGAAGTGGGTCTTGTTTGTTTTTAAACCCAGAACCTATTTCTTCAACACTTCCTTCAACAGTCTAGCATCAGATCTACTCACAAAGCAGCTATGGGTAAAAGCAGGGGCGGCGTAAAAATCACCCAGTCCTAAGAAATAGATTTCAAGGTCAGCTCTGTTTCAATTGAATACCTACAGGGATTTTTATTCCACTTCCCCTCTGCTGGAAGTGAAGGTATAAACTAACAAAATAGATTTAAAATGTATAGCTTACTTAACACCAGTGTACTCCTAAGTCTATCCCCAAGATGTTTGTTTATTATGCACACTCATCTATTATGCATTACTGTAGGTGGGTAAAGCTTTGATCAATTACTGCTTGAAAATATAAAACAGTTATAAAAGTGACACCTTCCAGTTTCATAGGCTGTTTGAGCATCATGAAAAACCTTTTATCAAACAGTCATATATGTGTATAACATAAGTGCTAAGCATAGAGGCACTAATTAAATAAAGGTAATTTTCATGTAATAAATGAAAATAAAGCACAACTGAACACTTTAACCTTTCTCAATAGTTTAAACCCTGTTATGGAACATACCATGAAGCTATTAGTATTGGTGCTTATTTTTAAATACAGATTTAAACATTTGGTGCCTAATGTGTTTTTGAATTACACAGACACACGTATAGCATGAGGTAAGTGTGCTGTCTGCCCCCTTTGGCTTCGGGATTCCTGACAAAAATTATTGTAATCTAACTGATTAACTTCTGCATTATTTATTTGCTTTGGGTGTGTCAATGGGCACTTTGATATGAAAAAGAGTTAATTTCTTCTGTAGAGGTTCAACAAGATTCAGGAACAGCAGAACGGAAATAGATTATCTATACAAATATGCTGATGTAATCAATTTCAGTTACTGAAGCATGTTGCTGAAGAAGGCAAGTGTGTGTAAGGGGGTGTGAATGTGTGTGTGTGTGGTCCAGGAATACCTTACACTGTGAGAAACAACTATCCCCACAATGTGGAAAAAAAACCTGTTATTTTGATTTTGTGGGGACCACTTTTTCGGACCCCACAAGGAGAAACTCAATTTTATAAAAATCTCTGACTGCAGTCAAAAAACTAAAAATGCCAAAGTCCCTTATTTTGTTTGGCTACCAGTTGTTAAGGTGAGGGCTGGGTAGTGGTCAGGTTATTGCTGGGATTAAGGTTTTTCCAGTAGAAAGGAATGGATGGTCTCCAGAAAGATATGAATACAAACACGTCTGTGTGTGTGAGTGCACTTTCTTCCGTTTGACAGGAACACTGTCTTTCACTCTTTGCTTTGCAAAAATGGAATTCATTATATATATCCTAACCATTTGCCTATAATTTGACAATATGTCCAATATTTTATCATCAACTGTGATTTCAGGATAGTACTCTAAAGAAACAGCATTTTCAATTAACCAGTGAGATGGTACATTTAGCTAGTGATGCATAGCACAGTTCTTATCACTGCTTTGAAAATGTAGTCGTAGTTAGTACCATGATTAATGAGCTGTTTTGGTGATCAATGGTGTAAACAAATTAAGCATACAAATGCAAATAATGTGAGTCATTTCTGTTAAGCATCTGTTAAGCCACCTTAAAATAGTATTTGTATGAGTGCTTGTGAGTGTGTATGTGTAAGTGGTCAAGTATGTATTACCAAATGTTCCCACATTGTTTTGGGGACTACCTTTTCGATCCCCACAAGGGGAAACTCAAATCAAGCATACAAATGCAAACAATGAGTCATTTCTGCAAAGCATCAGTTAAGCTACCTCGAAAAAATCTCTTGGTACTGGAGGGTAGCAATTCTACCACTTCTCATCAATAATAACCAATGATGAAAAAGACAGTGATGTTTATTTCTTGTCATTTTTCACATTGTCTGTGTGAAGTTCATTCTCGTTTCTCTAACTAATATTCACTGACCTCAATGAAAATCTTCAATGAATTGGCCATTTTTTTACTATTTTATTTTAAAAAACTTTTATATAAATATACCACTAGAACAGCATTCCCTCTTAGAAATAAGAAAGAACCCCCAAATGGCCTGTATATTTTATCTTTTTTTTACATAATCTGACCAAATACAACAAAATTTTACCACTAGAAGCCAACCTGAAAATCCCGAAACCAGCTCAAAAGTAAAGGAGTAATACTTCATTTCAAGATTTTAAGAGATCTGAACATCCCACTCATACTCTTTAGAGTGCACACAAATAAAACTGGCAATGATGTACATGAAACAAGATCATGTTTATGTGTATGAGGGTATAAACACTTCCAGGGACTTGATGTACAACATGTGTATGTAAAGAGTACTCCTTTAATGCTACCTTCAATGAGGATAGACGTTACATAGAAGAGCAACAGCGAAATATAACATGGATGTCCTGTTAAATGTGTCTTGATAATAACAATATTAATAAAACACAGATTTAATATTTTTCTAGAAGAAAAAAGTATTTTGATGTAAATTAAATGGAAGGATCAAATCACAACATTTAAAAATGTTCAGTTTTTAAAAAAGATTTAATCCATAAAGGGCAATCTTTACCTTAAGCTGTGGCTATATTACGCAATAATAATAATAAAGTATACTCAATAACGTAAGTATCATTGTGTGTAGTAACCAAAGGCAAATGTTTGGAAACTACTGATTGAAATATATTCCTCACCATTCAACTTATGCATTTTGTCTTTTGTCCGGTGTCACCTGCCACCATTCGTGGAGGTGTGAATGAGTGGTGTACCTGCAAAGCTATATGTGATGTTAATGAGACCAGCAGTGGAGGGCACAGCTAACCAAAAAGTTAGCTTCTATATCCGCTAATCCGCTAACTCCAAAGTTTAATTCAATAACGCTAAACCGATAAACCACTAAAATGAATGCTAGCTAAAGACAACCGCTAACTGCTAACTTTTACTGTATGAATTTAGCTTCGGTTTGGTTTTTGGCTCTGAAGCCCTTAAAAACATACCTAGAGAATTAAAATTTTAACCTGTTTAACACTGAAGTCCCATCTGCCAGACTAGAGTGATTAACAGGGTGTTTAGGACTTACCCAATCACTAATGTTGGATTCTGTAGAGTCTCTGGAATAAATCAGCGTTGAAATGTTCTTTCTGTGATATTCCATTTGCGAAATAGAAGTGTTTTGTGTTGGAGAAGCTCTATTTCACACCTGGCCCGTGCTGACATTTTTCCCTCAGTGACACAGCTTCAAGATTACAAACATGGCACCATGTACCCAGAATTAGAAAGGAGGGTCTCAGCTCTTTATTGATCCATAGCCCCATCAATCAGAACCCAGAAAATACAACTGGGGGCCTGTATCACGAAGTAGGAGTTCTTGCTGAGCTGGATAAGTTGTCAGATTTAAGGTAGTCTGGGCTAAATGTAACTGAACAAAGGTTGAGGTCCTTGTTCACACATACATGGGTATTTTTTAAAACATAGCTTTGCCTATACATTTTGGTCTTTTGTCCACATGTGAATGACATGTTAGGTCACTGAAAATGGAGTTTTTGCAAAACCCTGTCCAGGGTGAAGATTTTCAGAAATTCCATTTTCAGTGTTGATGTGTAGACAGGGAAAACAGTTTTTGCTTATAATGTCAGAGTGTGCGCTGTTCACATTGGGTGAGTTTGCTATGGACAGTGCATTTTTAGCATTTTCATGTGGATGGAGATTTTTTCTTAAAACAGTGTTTGTGTGGACTGTATTTTTTATATAATTTCTCAGAAAGTTATCCATTTAAGCAAGAAATCTAGCTTTGTGATACAGGCCCCTGTTCTCCACTTAGTTCAGGGTAACCCAGTTTAAATGGAATTTATCTTCGATCACTTACAATTAGCCTAGAGTACCTTATATCTGACTCGTTATCAACCAATCATGTCTTTTGTTCACACGTAGTCAGCCAACAGCATGCCAGATAGACTGTTGTAGGTACGTTCACAACACAGATATGTATGATTTTAGGGTTTACAATTGTTTTTGACCGTTAAACCTTGACCTGCAAAAAAAATGTTAGCATATTTACAGATAACAGAACTAAATTTAGCAGAAGCTAATTGGTCTGCTAGCAGTTTTCGAAGTTAGCAGAAATGTTAATCTGCTAATGAAAATGTTAGCTTCACTAATTAGCGGTTAGCAGATTAATGGAACCCTGCCCACCACTGGTCACCAGTAAGTATACAGGAAGCCAATGGACGCACTACAGAAAATTGCTGCAGTATTCATTGTAAACATGAATATCATCACCAAATGAGTCACATAATATGGTGATTAAAGAGCAAAATAAATGGGTTATCCTTAATATACTTATTTAACCCCCTGAACATTATGTGAATTAATAAATTAAAATAAAATAAATTTATTCAAATTTCACTCATATTTTAATATGAAATTATGTGGATGACATGAGTCAGGAAAAGCTATGTTGTGGTTCAATTGTTCTATAACGGTGGACATTTAATTATGTTTAATTATTTTGTTCATTTTTTTCAGCACCATTGTATTGCCATAACATTTGTTTTAAAATAATTTCCCCCCAATTTTCTACTGCTAGACAAATGATTACATATGTTAAAATTCTAAGTAGTCCCTGTAAGTAGTGATCTTCTTTGTATTTTGCTCCAGGACAACCTGACTGGTTGAGGGGGTATATTTTTACCCATAGCGTTTTGTAAAAACCACTTATATGTTTTGCTACGTCTGTCTGAGGTTAGAGGAACCACGGTGGTGTGTAATGATTAGAGCTTGCAAGCATTTGATCCTTAAACCGTCCTTTCTCACAGTGAGAAAAAAAAAAAACACATAAATGCTGAAAAAGATTTTGCATTTAGTTAAATCATTTTCTTGATTTAACTACAATGTTTTTTATATAATAAATACCCTTTCTTTTTTAATTAAAGACTTTTGAAATGGAGATATACCACAGTTCTTGAAGCAATTATTGTCATCACATACTGGTTCACTCCAAGCTTAATATTTATGCATGTCCATTTTAAGTTTCCTTTCATGAAAAGAATCAAATTTGGGTCTCTTGTACATTGTCTTTTGAGGTGGTTCGGATTAGCAAAGGTTCATGCCCAGAACTGTGCAAGGATTTGAGAGCAGAGGCATGGTTGTACATAGTCTTGTAGGAATTGAAATGGTTGAGGTGCTCATGCTCCAGAGGAGGTAGTGACAGCTGGGTCTCCAAAGTTGGTCCCCCTGTCAGGTCCTCATCTACATTGATGATCTCAATGGTCCGAGTGGGAGATTGGTGGCTCTGCTGGTGGTGCTGTTTACGCATTTTATAAAAGATGACGAGCATACCAGCAGCCATGAGAGTGATGGCCACAAAACAACCAATGATGATCTTGGTCGTCTTCATCACCTCATCCAGCCCATTCAGAGAGCGTTCATTGACATCTGTGACAGGAACGGAATAGGCTTTTTCCGTGCTTTTGGTGGAGAAGGGTGTCTGTACAGTGGAGGTCTTCCATCCACTAGAGAAAGGGGTGGGCCTCCGGTTGTGCCGCCCAGGAGTCCTCTCTTCATTGTCAGACAGCTCGGTAGTCTCTACGGTAACCGTTGTGAAATAGCTAACACCACTGTTCTCTAGTGAAGACACGTTAAGCACGGCTGACGCCGTAGTGTTGCCTGCTGAGTTGCTCACCATGCAGGTGTAGGTACCTGTGTCCTGCACTGTGACATTGGTAAAGTTCAGTGTTCCATCATTAAGCACTGCGATGCGTACTTTGTACGCTCCGTGTGTTATGATGGAGCCATCTGGAGTAATCCAGCTGATCGAAGTCAAAGAGCTTGTACGGCATCTCAGCTCTGCGACCATGCCTTCTGTCACATTTACATCTGTAGGAGGCTCCACAATAACGGGGGCATAACAATGAAAATAGTTTGGGTCCAGCTCTCCAATGTAACGACCCTTGTGGCTGGAGGGTGAGCTGCAGCGGGCACAACAGCTGGTATTAGCTGGCACCATCTCTTTCAACCACCAGCTCAGCCACAGGATATCACAGTTACAGTTCCAGGGGTTGTGGTGCAAATGCACCCTCTCCAGATGGTGCAGGGGGGTAAAAAGGTCATAGGGCAGAAAAGTGAGGTTGTTATGGGCCAGATTTAGCTCTACCAGTGATTGCAGATCATCGAAGGAGTTCCTCTCAATGGTATGAATCTGGGCATGCATCATCCACAGTTTTTGCAGGTGGACCAGCCCTTTGAAAGAGCTAGGCTGAATGACAGAGAGCTGATTACCCGACATCTCCAGCTCATCTAGTCTCACTAAGGGGAGAAGGTTGGGGATCTCTTTCAGGTTGCACATGCCCAGGTTCAAGTAACGTAGGTTGCTTAAGCCCTCAAAGGCCCTCTCAGAGATATAAGATAAACGCTTCAACTCACCCAGGTCTAATCTCCTCAGGGAAGGCACCCGGTTGAAGGCATAGGAGGGGATGCTCTCAATGGGATTATTTCTCAGCCAGAGCTCCTTCAACTTGGAGAGGTATTCAAAGGCCCCATTGGGAATGGTAGTTAAGCGGTTGTCAAACAGTTCCAGTGTGTTGAGGTTGGCCAATCCATTGAAAGCGCCAATCTCAATACTGCGGATGTGATTCTTGCTTAGCTGCAGGATCTCGAGGTGCAGCAGGTGATTAAAGCTGTCCACCCTGATGACTTGGATGAGGTTCTCCTGGAGGTTCAGGTAACGTGTGTTGGTTGAGATTCCATCAGGAACGTCCTTCAGTCCACGGCGGGTGCAAATGACCTTGCTGAACTGGTTGCTGCAGGAACAGACTGACGGACAGGTCTGGGCTCGTGCCAGGCCCGCCACCACCAGCAGCTGAAGGGCAAGCACCAACAGCACAAACAAGGGGCTGTTCAGGGGTGTGTTCCACCTAGGACCTCTCATCATCTGCTCCTGTACGTAGGATGTCATCTTGTTTAATATTCATAGTTTATAGGATTGTGGTTCCCGTCTGTGAATTGGTGTAACCATGAAGCCTGAAAAAGGACAAAAAATTGAATTAAATTAATTGTTTAGCTAAATTGAACTTAATGATCACAAAGAAGTTTATAGTTATCTACTGTATATAGTTATTCCGTACATCAATCAATTTGTAATCTGAACAAAGAAAATGTGTGCACACAACAAACTAAAAATCAATTTAACAAATGCCACAATAAATCATGTATAATGTTTTAATGAATAATATTTTAATAGGTCATTGATATCGGAACAAAATATATACATTACAATTATAACAGTAAGAAAGTAAAATGTGCTGTTGTTTTTAGTGGATTTGGAATTAAGTTTGTGTGCATGTGAATGCAACTTGAATGCTAAAAATGGGTATACTTTCTGCTCTACAAGTGCTAATGCTTAAATAGCATTAAATTGAAAACTGGAAGAAAGAATGTGAAAGTTGTAAAGGCATAAGCACATAATCTACAGCTGATGTTCTCTTCCATCAACCACGAATACGCATAGCATCTCCAGTCAGCCAGGATTCATTAATCACCCGTACCCACCAGAAATAAGACTTTTCATGCAGCCAAATGTGCGTGCACACACACATTCGCACAAACAGAACTCACAGAGCATTCTCTGTATGTCTTGGATATTAAACTCCAATTGAGATCTTCACTGGCGTTTCCACAATATGGAAACAGATTTTCTTTATCCCTTTTCCCAATATTCCTCTCAAAAGGGAGGAACAGCAGCTGAGTTCATGTTGTCTGTGTACATTTCTTTTTTTTTTTTTCCCATTTTAGATCATTCACACAGTTGGGATTAAAAAGTGTTCCAATCCACCTGTTGAGTTATAGGTTTATGTGCAGAGCTGCTCAATCCTACAGGCAACGGATGGGGGACAGTGGCAGTGATGCTCGTCTACAGCACCACAATGGCTACAGCTGGCACTGTACCTGTGGTTTATGCCACTAAGCACCAGGGAATGCAATTTAAAAAAATAATAGTTTAACATTCTTACTTATACAGCAGTGCCGTCTCTTATAGCTATCAGTTCATTTACCGTTTTTGAACACATTGAAATGCTTGTACTTGCTTGCAAGTAGTATTTTCGTTGGAAATGAATAATCTGTACATCACAAGTTTAAGTTAAATCATTAAAAATATTATATTATGGGTCATTCTCTGTTCTGATTTGATGATTTTATACCATTTTTCCCAAATACACTGACCAGCCATAAGATTAAAACCACATCCACTCATGGTGCCAAACCAGCTGTGACCCGTTGAGGCCTGAACTCCACAAGAGCTCTGAAGGTGTCCTGTGGTATCTGGCACCAAGACGTTAGCAGTAGATCCTTTAAGTCCTGTAAGTTGTGAGGTGGAGCCTCCATGGGTTGGACTTGTTTGTCTAAGACTTAACACAGATGCTCTATCGGATTGAGATCTGGGGAATCTGGAGGCCAAGTTAACGCCTTGAACTTTTTCTCATGTTCCTCAATCCACTGCTGAATAACTTCTGCAGTGCGGTAGGATAGATTATCTTGCTGAAAGAGGCCACTGCCATCGGGGAATACCACTGCCATGAAGGGATGTACTTGGCCTGCAACAATGTTTAGGTAGGTGGTATGTGTCAAAGTAGCATCTACATGAAACCCAAGGTTTCCCAGCAGAACATTGCCCAGAGCATCACACTGCCTCCGCCAGCTTGCCTTCCTCCCTGACTGTTCCCTGGCCTAATATACTATTGTAATGGGATAATGTTATTCACTTCACCCGTCAGTGGTTTTAATGTTATGGCTGATAGGTGTAGGTAAATAAAAATCAAAGAACACAAATTAGATAAAATGTTTTTAAATATTTCAATCTTATTGCACGTAACCCACAATAATCTTTTTTTTTTTGTTAGATTTGTTATTTTTTCCTCATCTCTTTAACTCTTGCCCTGGATTTGATGAAGTGCACTTGTTTATTACTGACGTAAATGGCAATATAACAAAACCGATTACAGAGGCAAAATTCACAGTTTAGACAATGAAGTTGTATAATTTTAAAGAATATGCAAAATTGTATTTTTGCTGTAATGTAGAGGCAGAGTTTGTGAGGATGACCCATATACTCCCCTTTGTGATAATTCTACATTAATTTGGGGATCTAAGTTATGATCATAACTTTTAATATTTGTTGTGATTAATCACAATTAACTGTGATTAAGTCATTAATTTTTTTAACCAATTTACAAATGTGTGGCATGGGAAAAGACACAGCACAGTGTGCGAGAACTTACTATGGAGTGCATCCTCAAGTGGAGTGCATCCTCAAGTGTTCACCGCACATTACTACCGTCTGTAATGTTCACATGCTTCTCAGAACCAGCTCTATAGGGGCCTGCACTCCAGCAACACTTGCACAAAAAGTGCAAGTTATATTATATGTATTATGCATTATATTTGAATATAAAATATTTATATTTTAATCAGCTTTGATGCCCCAGACATAAATATACATTTTGAATGAACTTTTGAAATTACAGGCAGTCAAAAATCTTCAGGGTTCCATGTCAAATAAATGTTTCCAGCTTCTTGCGTTACATCCCCCCCAAATATCTGCCTGCGGGATTATCATTTTTTTCATTCCTAGCACATTTGTTTATGTTTCTTTGTGATTTAGTCTCATTCTAACGTTATATTTCCACTTTCTCTGCTAACTTCCCCTGTGTGCATGTATTTTGCATATATCTTGATCATACTGTATATCGTGATCCTTGACTGCACTAACTTCAGTAGCCATGAAGTAACATAAACAAAGGACTTGGCAGTCAGATGGTAGCTGACAGTGTGAAGCCATGTCCTGGAGTGCTGTAACAAAGTCCTCTAACTAATTGTTTAAAGCCTATCACTGCTCAGGTGGGTAGCTGTCACACAGCCAAAGTTGGTGCTTTGGTCGCCTTCCCTTTGTGTCTGTCTGTGAAGTCTGTGTGGGCCACTTGCTGTTAGGCACCATTCTGTATGTGCCCTGTCTTTGCTGGGATGTGGGCCACTTGCTGTTAGGCACCATTCTGTATGTGCCCTGTCTTTGCTGGGATGTGGGCCACTTGCTGTTAGGCACCATTCTGTATGTGCCCTGTCTTTGCTGGGATGTGGGCCACTTGCTGTTAGGCACCATTCTGTATGTGCCCTGTCTTTTCTGGGATGTGTGCCACTTGCTGTTAGGCACCATTCATATGTGCGCCAGTGAAGCTGGGGGTTAAGGGCCTCGCTCAAGGGCTCACAGATGCGACTGAGGCCAGGCCCGAACTGGTGACCTTCAGATGGCTCAGCCCACTGAACAACATATTGCCCCCTATGAAAAAAGAAAACATGACAATTGATTTTCCTCACTTATTTTATGCAGAGCTGGTAGCTATAATATGTAACCTTGAAATATTAAGCAAATTCTATTTCCAAAGCAACATACAACTGAGGAAAGCTTGGGGTCTTAGAGCAGCCATGGAGTACTTTGGGTTACGGGGTCATGGTCAATGGCCCAACAGTAACATGTTTACTCTTCCAGATGTGGGATTCAAACCCATATGGTCACAGGAATAGATCCCTTAGTCACTGAGTTACACACCACATCTAAACTATCCATCTATCTATCTAAATAGCCACTGTCATTGAGGTAGAATGTATTTCTTTTTTTGCCAGTTTTAATCGCATGTGTTTCTTTGTTTCGTAAGAAGGACTGTTTATCTTGGTCAGGGTTATGGGGTGTCCTGGAGCACATCCCAGACAGCATACGGCATGCGGGCACCCTGGGGGGGGGGAGGCTCTGAAATCCAGGAGAAACTTACTGTGTGTGTTATTTTAGGTATGTCTATTAGGTATGCTGAAATGCATAAGCTAAGAAATATTATTCACTATCCTGCATGACAACAAAATAATATATATTGGTATTAGCTATAAAAAGAATCTAGTGAATAAAGAAATAATTTAGTATCTTCTATAAGACCCCTTCCTCTTTCCCATGTATGCAGGCATAGTGCACCATCCTCTTTCCCATGTATGCAGGCATAGTGCACCATCCTCTTTCCCATGTATGCAGGCATAGTGCACCATTGGCCTATTTCAGTACTTCCTTCAACTTCACGCAAGAAATTTTTGGATTAAATACAAAAGTGGACAGAGCTTCTCAAGTTATGTAGTAAAACAAGAAAACATGATTAACAAAATTCATATGAATTACTGCTTCCAAAGCACAGAATCCTGGTGGCAATCATGTCATCAGCAAGAAATTAAGTACAGACTGCACAAAATAATTTGAGAAGATAAAACAGAATTAAATAAAAAATCATGATTAGCCTATAATTCAAAATTTTGAGATGAAAAGCTCTTAACGAAAACCCGAAAACAGCTTTTCAAACATTTTTGTACTTTGCCTGATCAAGTATAAATGGCTGAAAAATTGGAATGTAATTGTGGAAGCCTAGAAACATTTCGAATCATACTGTGTAATAAAGAATCCTGAAGAACACACCTTCAATTACTGTAATTTCAGATATAATTCTATGATGAGGTTAGACCTTCCTTGTATCCATAGGCGACTCTGGGTTTTTCCCGAGGGGGTGCAGAATGAGAGAGCCCAATCAGACATTCATCCAGAAAAAATCCAGAGAAAATTTGTTTTAAAAATTTGAAAAACAATTGTAAATACATTTACAATAAATTATTATTATGCATTTATATGATTATCACAAGCTACATTTTAAAACATAAATTCATAATATAATTTTGCTTTATTGAACATTTTCATCTGATCGATAGGGGGTGCAATTTCTCCCCCTGCACCCCTGTAAAATTGCCTGTCCCCCTTACGCTCAGTAAAACATTACCATCATTAAATACAGTAATGAAAAAAGTACACTGTACATTAAAATACAGTACTGTACTCTCGAATAAAAGGGATTCTGAAATTTAAGCCTTATTCACAAGAAAAAAAAATCTTTTATACCCCTCAAAAGATGAAGGAACAATGAAAAAACAGAGACTACTGTTACACACTTTACAATGGAAAAATATGGTATCGTACCTGTACGTAACGTTTAATGAGAAAAAAAATATCTTAGCCTATTGTGGGTACTCAGGCTTACAACCTGTACTCGCTTGGGGTGACGTTTGACACTTATGAACTGTTTCTGGAATTTGAAAACTTTTCTTTCGGACCACGGTAAACTGCAGATAACTAAACCGTTATTACTGGAAACGCAATTACTGTATCAGCAATTTTACAAAACCACAATTTTGGATTAGCCATACTGTACATGTGACGAATTGACAGCTGAAACAATAAGTAAGGGCATATTTCCATAGAAAGAGTCACCTTCCTGTTACGACCTTGCATCGTATATTTGATGTAGTGGGGCAGGTTCCCCCTCTCAGGAGAGTGTCGCTGACACATTCAATCACCTGTGGAACTGAAAAGAGCCAAGAAGAAGATGATTGGTGTCACAAAAAGGTGACACTGTTTTAAGTGCAAGTTTGAACCCTGTCCCGAAGCAACTGGTAGCTCCACCTTTGTGACTGTTTTTGTGGGATTGTGATTTAGTCGTATTTGTTATCTTGTAGTTCAAGTGGGATATCGCAAACTTTGTGCACTTCTGATTGTTTTGTTGGTCGCTGTGTATTTGTTCAGAAATCATATGATACTGTCTTAGTTACCTGCCTACCTGTCTCTTGTTAAACCGCGTTTGTACCTTTTTGGGCAGATATATACCTCATTCTTATTATCGCTTATTATTTCTAGGTACTGTAAATTCTTGTCTTGCCACCAATTAACCTCAGTAAATGGCTGCATTCCCTTTACCACTTGTCTCTCTCCTTGCTATGCTATGGTCAAACCTTAGACCGGCTATATTTTTTCCATCTTAACCTTATTACTGATAAATGCTTTGGTAATAAACATACAATTTACAGAAATAACAATGTGATATTTTATTTTAAAGGGAAAAGTCACAGAGTGAAATAGTGTTTTAATAGATAAAGTCATTAAGTTATATGGTGCATTTTTAAATATACACTCCAAAGTTTGTGTCAGTGTCATAAAGCTGAATAAATGAAACAGTGGCTGCATTATTGTATTCTTTCCCTCCTCAGCCGTGCATTTATTTAACCCTTACATAGTTCATTAAAATGTGTGTAGGAATCGATTAATGGAACCATAATTCAAATGTCTTATCGAATTCCTGGTTCTCAAAAATTTAGAATCGTTTCTAATTTGGGAACAGTCCTTAGTACTGTGAGAGAAAAATCCAAATGTAATACAAAAGTAGTGAATTTTATGTATATGTATAATCTATTTTATGTATTTATCTAATTTATGTATATGTATAATAGCAATAGAGGAATGCACTAGGCCAGTAGGAACCATGTGTTCAAGGTCGGATGATAGCATCAGGCCCTAGTCAAGAAATAGCGAGCACTGAAATATCGGAACAAACCATATATGGAAACACACAGTAGAACGCTGGGATAAAAAGAATTGTATGAAGAGGCTCGAGGGAGAACTCCTGAGGTATCTCCCCGGGCCCGTGCTGTAAGATACCACAATAAACTGAAGGTTGAAAAGACTTTACGCTGTCCTGAGTCCTACATCGCGAAATTTCCACAACAATACCCAGTCTGACAGCTCAATCCTCGCTCCCTCCTGGTGTCTCACGTGATACACAATGATGGTAAAAAAACAAAAAAAAAAACAAATTGCAAGTCGCACCGGTGCGCATAGTAATATAATTTAATTGTCTCCAAAATGGTTGCAGTCTGGGACCACACTGTAAGATACAGGACTCTACAGCTCCATCGAAGTGATGGCCAGCCTTCTTGTCTGTTCAGGTTTTGAAGGACGACCTTTTCCGGCAGTGCCTGGGTGGTTTGATGTAACTTGTATTGCTGATAATTGAACCAACAATGCCCACTGAGACATCCAAAAACTAGGATATTGTTTTAATAATAATAATAATAATAATAATACATTTTATTTATAGGCGTCTTTCTAAACACTCAAGGACACTGTACAGTGAATGCTAACCGTACCCTTTTCCAATTTTTAAAAGCTAATACTAATGATATTCAAAGAATATGGAAGTTATTTTAATGATTCACGAGCAGAGGCCAATCGTAAAGTAATTGCGTCTGTTAGTGCAGTTTTTAGGGACAGAATGCAAATGCCAACAGGACACTTCACAAATCCCAGTTTCTTAAGAATGTTTTCCAACATACACAACAATAAAAGTTTTTTTTAGAAGTACAAAATATTACAAAAATCAAATTTCAATTTTTTTTTACTTCAGTTAATCCTGCAAAATCAAAATTTTGGGAAAAAATGATCAAGGGTATGAATTCTTTTATAAGGCATTGTAACACAGATATTGATCAAATTAAATTAATTTCACTCCATCTAACAAAAAGGGGTATCAGCTCAGACAGAAGCTGCACTACAGATAGCAAAATGTCTGCACTACAGATTGATCTATGCAAACAGAAGACCCATCCACAATATACCTGTAGATAAGGATGAGATGACTGACTATAGCAAGAGTGTAAGCAATATGCCAGTCTTTGACTTTGCAAATTGATATCAGCCAGCTGAAAATACCATGCAATACAATTACAATATAAAAGAGGGCCCTATATTTGAAAAGAGGATCATTTACCAAATCCCAAAATCAACCCAGTACAGTGCATCCACCCTTATGAGATTTTTTTCTTAGAAAAGAGGTGTTTTTTTAACAGGTAAAAGGGTCCATGATGAGACAAACAAAAAGTGCAGAATAAACTCCGGAAAATTATGTAAGAAAGAAGCATGAGGTCCACAGAGAGACACTTTTAATCACCTTTAATCACATGTGTAATGGAATCAGGTCACCTTCTGGAAGGAGTTTGTGTTATCATACTGATGAACAAGAAACAAAATCCACATATTTGGTATTTGCTCATCCAGCTAACATCCATCCTATAATATTCGCAATGCGATATACTCTTGCAAAAGAGTGTACTATAAGTAAATAATCAGGAAAATGAACTAAATGAATTAACTGGTTTGAACATACGTTTTTTTAAAGATCATAAACAGCTCACCCATGACCCTGACCAGGACAGAAGATGGATGGTTGGATGGATGAATGGATAGATGAATGAACAATGCAGTTACCAGAATTTCAAATAGCTACATTCAAAATGTAGATTAGAAAAATTCTTTCCATCTTATAGTCCTTTTATTGATAAATCCTGTGCAAATGCATTATAATGAGCTATTTCATATGCTTATGAAATACAGGCATGTGAATGAAGGGACACTAACTTAGGCCC